CAGAGTACAGTAGAAACGGCTTGACCCTAAAAATAAAGGGCATGTTTCGGATAAACAAAACATGGATAGCGGATTCATCCTGCACAACACACCTACATATATGTATATTTATAAACTACATTTTGAATACGTTTTCTTAGAAGAGTGATTGCCCCAGATTTGGGACTTGTGAAAACCATGGTTACCACATCCAAAAACGCCAAAAAGTGCAAACAAACATGATTTTTAACCCAAAATTTGACCCACGCAAGGAGTATGTCTTTTCTTAAAACCTGTCTTAAATTAAATATCACCTACTCGGTCGCAGAAACTCACGTTTTAGCATAGGTCGTCAAACTGGATTTTTCACAATATTTACACATGTGCTGTGTACAAAAATAGACTACATGAAAAGCTAGCTTTTGTTGTGTAAACACAGATTCGTAAATGGCCAAAAATGTAGTCTCAAGCCAAATTCAATTTTTTTTAAAATGTGAATCCCACATAGTCCAATTCATCATGCATATGTAATTTTAGAGCTGTTTTTTTTAAAGTTTTTATACATGTAATATTACAGGGGTTATTCATTGTACAAAAATATCACCCATGGCCATCGTACGCTACTGTACACTGCTATCTAAAGGAACTGACGTTGATAGGTATGATAAGAATTCCTGCATGCAAAGCAGGTGTTATGTGCTCAGGTTGTCTCATGTCACAGTCACGTCCGACTGGTTTGGTCACATTCCACAGAACACGTGTACATTTACACTGGACAAAGTAACGTAACCAACAGGTCACAAAGATACATTTACAACAGAACGAACTCAAGTACTAAAACATATAAATGGGTTACATACAGTTCACAATAGTTCGAAAGTTTTTTCTCTTGAGTAACGGTACATTTTTAAGGAACATTTTCATGGAGCGTGAAACTGTTTGTTTGCTCAGCATGACCTCATCATATTGTTTTGTTATGTTAAATTTCCATTTATATAATATAAACGTTATCTATTTTACAACAATTATGAAACAAGTTATTTTAACTTACATTAATCACTCTTGTTAGACCGTATATAAGAGCCAGGGGATCTTAATGTAGGACGAAACTGAATTACCTGGAGAAAACCTATGTGGTCGGGCACAAACCTTTTCACGTCCGATCGGGCTATCGAAACCCTGCCGCTTGGTAAAAGATGAGTGTGCTATCCACTGCGCCACCCGACAACCCCAGTTTCCATTGATCAAAATGAATTTTAGAGAGACTACAGAAATTATCTTTAGCTTTGAAATATCGACTGCAATATTAGTTCCCCCGAGACATGGTGTATTACCCGAGTCA